CCTCCCCAACTGTCTCAGAGGAAGAGTGGACGCAGGGCTGACAATTCTGGCTGGAGGACTTTCTTCCCTACAGCCTCTGCCCACCTGATCTCATGCCCAGGAGCTCAGGACACAGTGGGGCCATACCTTCACTTCCCACTTTCCTGGACCTTGTATCTGAGGAGCCCCCTTCCGCTGCAGGAAGGCTAGGAGAAGGTCTGCCCAGGCTCTTAGGAGGCAGCCCTCCTGGGAGGACCAGGGGTTGTTGGCCTCATGACGCTCATGAGTCCCAAAAGATGGTTTGGATGATCCCATTGCTTAAAATGAGGAGATGGAGGTTCAGAAAGGGGGTCAGCAACTTCAAGGTTAGAGGCTTTTGGGAATCTTGCCCTTTCTGCTGCCCCAGAGGCCACTGTCAACGTGTTTGCTCTTGCCCTGGCAAAGGAAGAGGAGGAGCTGGCACTGGGTTGGCTTGTGCTTGGCGGGTGGGGGTCTTCCCGGGGGAGCAGTGGACACAGGGGAGAGCCCAGGGTCAAGGTCCCGGTGAGTGATCGGACTCCTCCCCAGGACCCCCGCTTCCACACGTGTGAACAGTTCACTCTGTATCTGCCCTTTCTCCACCTATACGTGCTGTGAAATCTCTTAATAAAAACCCAATTAGTCTTTCTTTAACTTTCCTTCAGATGCTTAAATACCATTACCCCAAACACAACACAATGCCTCTATTTTTCTATTTCAATCAAGCATTCAAGTAGCATCTTGACTTGTATATAATACATCACCAGCAGAATCCTAGAATGCTGACACCCTTAATAATAGCAATTAGTAATCAGTTGTTTCCTAAGTAGTCTGATTACGCCAGTTACCAAATTGTACAGTTGACGCATTTGGGGGGCAAGATGGGTCTCTGCACCCCTCCCCCAGCCACCCTTTCCCTCTTTCCGTTCTCTGGTCTGGTGAGCCAATTAGTATTGAAGAGAGGCAAGGACAAATAATGCAATTGTCGTGAATATTAAGCAGGAGATACTTGGCTCCAGCAGAAGGTAGAGTTGGAATCTTTGTGGAGGATATGTCTCAGGGGCACCCGTGGAGACACGCTTGTACCCACCCAGACCCCCGGGCCAGTCACTGCAGCTGGGGCCATGCCCCTGGGAAAACCAGCAATGCCCAGCCAGGGGCCTCGCCCTCAGCAGGTTCTGGTTGAGTTTGAAGTAGCCAGGCCATGGGGACTTGAAAGCCAGCCCCACACGGCTGCTGCGGGGCCTTGCGGTAGGTGGGTGTCCGCTGAGGCTCAGCCCTGTTCTGATGGATTATACACACACACACACACACACGGACACACGTGCACACACCGAGGGCGCATCCCTGCTCTGTGGGATTGCACACACAGTCTACTGTCCTCCAGCCATCCCTAGCCTCCACTTCCCCCACACCTGATGATGGAGAGAAGTTTAGTGTGGCAGTAGAAATTGCTGTGATGGCGACAGGGCAGGCCACGTCCATGCCCACCCCCCCCGCCTCCCAGCACTGTGCCAGGCTGCACCGGCTCATCTTTGGAGAACAGCAGGTCTCCCTGCAAAGGGGCAGCCCTACATGGTGCCCACTTCATGTGGGATATGACCTACGGTGCCTTATCTGGGTGGGCTGCTTTGACCACTTCTTGGACTCCAAGGGCCCATGTGCACCTGAACTCCTCCAGGCAAAGCCACTGCCTCTGTTTTCTAACCTGATCCGCCCTCTGCTGCTCACACCGCTTCTACCCCCACCACCCTGATGCTGCCATGGACACACGCCATCTGTTCCACTCAGTGGGAGCAGCAAGTGAAGCCAATGAGTTGGGTGCCAGGCCCTGCGGTGCCCACCCGGCCATTCAAAAAGGAGTCATTTTCTTCTTCTTATGCTCTCACAGCATCGTCTGTTGAACAACACCAGGACTCTGCTGCAGGCATCCTGAGGATGGAAACGCATCCCTCTTCCCCCACCCAATGCCTTTGCCAACAGCGTGGCTCTGGCTCTTCTCAGTGGATGTCCCCTGTCCAGCTCAGCACTGTCCCCTGCCTTCTCCCAGGATCCACCTTCTTGCAGAGCTGGGGTTCCTTGCTGATGCCAATGGCCGCTTGCTCACGGGATGTGCCACATCATCAACTTAGAAATCAATCTACTATTGGTTCATTGGATTCTGAATCTTGCCTGCAGATACTTTGGCACAGCCAGACCTGATGTTGCCCACCTCTGCCATCCACTCCTGATGTGGGCTGCTTCTCAAGGCCTTTGCCATGGATCCTGACCACCCTCTGAAAGCGCACACTAGCTTTCCCGGACCCCATCATGGTGCTCCACAGGCGTATACCTTCCCGTGAAAGCAACCGTGGGCTGCCATGCGCAGCGTGGGTGAATCGTGGTGCCAGTTTCAGGTAGCAATATGGCCCCTTTTAGATCGCAGCTGCACAGAGGCCTGGAGGGGAAGGACCCTGGGGAGCAGGGCAGTGAGAGACTCCTCAAGAGCATCAGCATCACCGACTCCCACCAGGAGGCCGAGCTCTGGGTTCAGAAAGCAAAGCGGGGGCAGGCATGGTTCCAGACTTCAAGTCCCTAGGGTTGGGTGTCATGGAGCCATTTCTGGTCCCTGTGTTCTCACTGCCAGGGGCCCCGCCTGATGCCAAGCATCGCACTGCAGGGTCTGTGCTTCTCTGGCACCTGGATGAAACCCCAGGGGGAGCTGCGTGTGTTCCCTGTGCCCCATTCCCACCCACCAGAGGCCCTGCCCTGGTACGATAATCTGATGTCTTAGCTTGGGGCTCTGCCATCCACTCCTTACCTGAGCCCCCTTTTCTAAGCCTCAACCTCAAGGGACGGGCACAAGGGCACAGCTGATCCGTACGCTCCTCAGACTCGACCTCCAGCTCGCCTTCTGCTCCCACCCCCGGGCGAGCTCCTACAGACATTCTGTTCTGGGGTTGCAGCTCCTGGACTTGGAAGAGCCAGGGCAGGAAGAAGCAGGAGCTGGGGCTGGCATGGTGGCATGTGACACCTGCACCCCACATCCCAGGCCCAGCTCCCTGCTGATGCATCTGGGAGGGCAGTGCCGGATGGTCCAGCCACCCTGTGAGAGGCTAGATAGAACTCCTGGCTCCTGGTTTCAGCATAGCACAGCCCGGGCCATTGTGGCCCTTTAGGGAATGAACCAGCAGATGGAAGATTTTTTTTTTCTCTCTCTCTGCCTGGGTCACTCTGCCTTTCAAATGTGTGTGTTAAACTGTTTTTCAGAGAAGCCAGAGCAGGAGCTATTCCTTCTCCAAGCACCTTTGCTGGAGTTCCCCAGGGAGGCTGCTCAGGAAGTCCCCTAAGCCTCAGGGAGCCCCAGCCAGCACAGAGAGCTCCATGTCCCTGCACCGATGTCCCCGCTTCCCCCATGTGTGCATGTGTGTTTGTGGGTGCGTACATATATGCACACTTCATGGGTGTTGGGAAGGGAGGAGCCTGCCACGTCCCCCGAGGGCCGAGGCTGACATTGCAGGTGCTTGTCCCATCAGGTGAGACAGCATCCTGTAACGCAGAGTAAATTACAGGACGGGAACGCACGTTGAGTGAATGTGTTACAAGAAGACGTTATATACACTGACAGAAAGGAGAGAGAGAGGGAGGACCCGGATGGATGCAATGCAGGCCAACAGGCAGAGAAACGCCAGACCCTCGGGATGGCTCCTGGTGCTGGCCAGTTAACAAGGGGCAATAGGGCCGTGAGAGATCTCTGTGTGCCAGGGAATGCTAGCACTGAGCCACAGCCCCTCCTGTTCCCGGGGGTCTCGGGTGGAACACAGCCCCTCGAGGGCAGAGGGACCCGAGGCCCTTTTGGCTGACAATACGGAACCGAACCTGCAAGTTCTGTGTCCTTGTTCTAGCGGCGCTGGCCCTGGTGGTCTGCCGACTCCAGGATCTCATCCTCAGCTAGATGCAGGGGAGTGAAGCTGCTGGAGACGCTCCTTGTGGCGTGGTCGCAGTAGTGGCACCGCACACCAGTGCCCTCCAGGGCGGGTGTTGCATCCAGTGAGAGATACCTCCAGCAGGCAGGGGAGGAAGGTGTCTGCAACAGACACCTCAGACTGTTTCAGAGATCAAGAGAGCGGAGCAGCAGCTCTTAGCTCTGGGAACAGGAGACATTTTCACAGGCGAAAGAAGCTTGGAACCAGCCAAGGCCGGGTGGGTAGGATGGTGCCAAGGGTTACTCCGTAACACCTATTCATGTTGTGATACATTGTTGCTTAGGTACATGAGGTGTCAAACACTAACAATGCGGATGAGCAAAGCCCTGTGGTCCTGAAGGAGCGATCTCACACAACATTGCCTGTGTGCTGGTTCATGTCCCGGCAGCTCCGCTGCGCATTCAGCTCCCTGCTTCTGCCCTGGGAAGGCAGCTGAGGACGGCCCAAAGCCTTGGGACCCTGCACCCGCGTGGGAGAACCAGAGGAAGCTCCTGGCTTCAGATCGGCTCAGCCCTAACCATTGTGGCCGCCTGGGGAGCGAATCATCAGATAGAAGATCTTCCTCTCTGTTTTTCCTCCTCTCTGTATATCTGACTTTCCAATTTAAAAAATCTCGGGAAAAAGAAAAAAAGAGAAAGAGCTAGCACGGAGACCCTGACAAGGTACAGCTTCGTGCTGCAGAAGCTCCTGCCGCTGCCTGGCCCACCCGTAGGACCGCCAAGTCCGTCTTACGCCTGTCGTCAGAGATTGTTCCTTCAAAGCCATTTAGGTAATCCCCACGTGTAGCGGTTAAACCTGCGCCTTGTCACACCGTGGGTACCCACAGTTACTGCGTACTTTCCCAAATAGATGCATCACTTTACAAGTCCTCGACTTGCTAATCAGATAGATGGGTAGATGATAAGTGACAAAAGATAGCTATAGGTGGGTGATGGATATGAAGCCGATATTGGAGGACCACTGCCTTTTCCTACCAATCAACCTTCTGTCTGCTGGCCTGCCCCCCACCCCAGATGCGACAGCCCCGTTTGGGATTACCTAACAGCACGCCGGTGGGCAGCCGAGCGGCCGGGTCCTTCATCCAGTCATCACTGGCCAATGATCACGGCGTCCACGGGCTTGATCTCCGAGCAGATCAGTTCCCCGACTCGCTGTTCGTCCTTGGCCTCCAGCGCGGCCTTCAACCTCCTCACTAAGGCGCAGCTGAGGGGGTAGTCGGGGAGGTTCTAGAAGCTCAACATTGTAGTGCTGGCTGCGTGGGGCCCAGCCTCCCTGCTCTCCTAAGCCAGGTCCAAGGTTAGCAGCCAGGTCCAAGGTTAGCAGCCAGGTCCAAGGTTAGCAGCCAGGTCCAAGGTTAACCGGGGAGGGCGGGGGAGGGCGGGGGAGGGCGGGGAGGGCACAGCGGCTTGCTGAGGACGAGGAGGGAGCCAGGGCTGTGGGTGGAGGAGGCAGGGGCACCGTGAGCTCCGGGGCTGTGGAGGAAAGGTGTGTTCTTGCGTGTTCTCTGCCAAAAGCTGGCCTGTCCTCAGACTTCCTACAGGATGCTGTGTGAGTGTGTATGTGTGTGTGTGTTGGGAGGTGTTGCTGGGAGCTAGTCCTGGAAGACAGAGATAACGCAACCTTGGGGAGGCGGGGAGCTGAGGCCTCTGGCTCCCCAAAGCTGCTGCACTTGGCCCGGAGTGCCCAGGCCCCTGAGCACGCAGGGTGAGGTCCCCAGGGATGCGGGTCCCTGGGCTTCTTCAAGGACCTCCCTGCCTCCCTTGGAGACGAGGCCTCCTGAGTGATGACTTGAGGGACACTCGGCAGACAGGCCCCGGCAGAGACATTCTTGGGACTGCTGGCCTCCAGGAAGAACATGGGCCTGGACAATTCTGCCCATGGTTGGCCAGTGTGACAAAATCATGTCACAGGCTTATCTGGGAGGCTTGCGGATTCTCTCTGGCTAAAGATGAGGGTTTTTGAAAGGGACCTGGAGCTTTGCACCTAGAAGCCTTACAGCTGCTGCTGTGGCATAGTGTGCTAGGCTGCTGAATGCAGCACCAAATCCCATATGGGTGCCGGTTCAAGTCCTGGCTGCTCTACTTCCAATTCAGCTCCCTGCTGACGTGTCTGGGAGAGCAGCAGGGGATCCAGGAGAGGCTTGGAAGCAATGCCTGACTTCAGGCTGGCCCAGCGCTGGCAGTTATGGTCATTTGAGGAGTGAGCCAGCAGATGGAAGATCTCTCTCTCCCGGTCTCCCTCCCCACCGTAACTCTTCCTCTCAAATAAGTAAAAGAAGATTCTTAAAAATGCCTTCCTCTTCTTCCTTTTGCATAGACGGGTTGAGGGGCAAGGAGTTAGCACAGGCCAGAACTGGGTAGACCAAAAGGTGAGGGCAGCGGCTGGCCAGCCAGCCTCACACCCAAGGGAGGCGAGGCGGAGCCCTTGCTGGGCAGATCATAAGACGCCGAAGCCACAGTGCGCTGTCTTCATTGTCGCGCTGTCTGCTGGGTGTTTAATCAGTGGCACATGCACTATGCTAATTACGCTGGCTAATTTTGTTATAATGTAATTCTTTATCAACCCTGTGATGTATAAATCAGGAATTGGGATGTAACTAACACAAATTATATTTAAGGCAACATGAATTTCTCTATTTCGGTATGAAATCATCTCTGTTCTTCGCCTGGCGTGGCCCAGCCTTGGCCTCTGTCTCCGCAGCCTGGACCGTCCCTGAGCAAGCCACCCTCTTCCCCCCACCCGCTCCCGAGAGCTGATGTTTCAACATTCTCCTTCAGAGACTGCCCTTGACCGGGGTCATCGGCGGTGGGCAGGGCCTGGCTGCCTCTAAAACAGGCAAAGGTGGCTGGGTGTAAGGGCTGGTTTGGGGATGTGGTGTGTGCCAAGCTTCTGCCCGCATGCTGCTGGCATCCCAGGTTGGAGTGCTGGTTTGAGTCCTGGCTGCTTCTTCTCCTAGCCAGCCTCCTGCCAGCGAGTCTGGGAGAGCAGTGGAGGTTGGCCCGGTTCCTGGACCAACTCCAGCCATTGCAGGCATTTGGGGAATGAAGGAGCGGTTGGAAGATCTCCTTCCTCTTTCTCTCACTTTCCCTTCAAATAAAGATATTTTTTGATCAGGTGGCTTCGGCCCTCCATCTCTGGAGGGCACTGAGAAGCTTGTGTTCCTGGGGTGTTACTCTGCACACGTGTTACTCGTGTGCAGAGCCCATGTTCCCATGGGAGCATGGATGTTACTCGTGTGCAGAGCCCATGTTCCCAGGGGCACATGTCTGTTACCACATGCAGTTGTTTTTACAGACCCTCACAGAGGCTCATGTGTCCTTTCTGGAACTTTCTCTGCCAGGCCAGTTTGCATCCTGAAGGGTGGGACTGGGACAAGGGCTCTGGGGCTTGTGCCCTGGGACTCTACCTCTGGCATGAGTTTCCCGGCAAAGTAGCAATGCCAGATGCACATGAGCTGCGGCTGGGGGCACACCTTGCCATGGTGCAGTGTCATGAGAGGAAGCAGGCAGCCGGGGGCGGGCTGAGTACTGGGCCTGACTGTGCATCTTGGAGGAACAGGCAGGACATGTCCTTGTCTGCAAACAGGAGGTGAGCTCCCTTACAGATCATGTTTATATGTGTGAAAGACTCAGAGAAAGAGAGAGATACTCTACCTGCTGATTCACTTCCCCAATGGCATTAGGCTGAATCTGGCCAAAGCCGGATCCCAAAGCCCAAGATCACCTGGGTTTCCTGCCTGGGTGCAGGGGCCTGAGCACTTGGCTCATCCTCCATTGCCTTCCCAGAGCCTGTATCAGCAGGGGGCTGGATCAGAAGTGGCACAGCCAGGATTCGAGCCTGTGCCCATATGGGATGCCAGGGTTGGGATGATGGTTACATCTGCTATCCCATGGTGCTGGCTCTGGACTCACTTCTGAGGCTGCCATGTCTCTGCTGTCCTCAGAGAGCTGCCTTGCACCCCAGGGGGTATACAAGTGCACCCCCGGAGGACTCTGGGGCCACCTGTCCCTCCCAGGCCAGCCTGGCAGTGCTGGGTCCTGATTCCCAGGCCGCAGACTCCCGCCGGGCCCTCACCACTCTCTTTTCTCTCCCTGGTCCCATGACTCTCCTCCCAGCCCCAGGGGCCCAGATGCTTCTCCCGGTGCTAGCAGCTTGGTGGCTTGTCTGCAGATCCCCAGGGATTCCATCTTTGTGCCTTTCTCATCCGTTTTCTGCTTTTGTGTGGGAAGGCATCTCCTGTTTGGTGGTAGACAGGCTTGGCAGCCCCTCCCCAGCCTGTAGGTGCTGGGCACAGCAATGTTGCCATGTCGTCGTCGGCCAGTCACTGCTTGCACGGCTCTGTTCCAGGCTGGAAGCAACACACTGGGATGTGGGGGTGCACTGCAGGGGTGGCATCCCCGACCACTCACCCGAGAGCTTTGTGTTTCTTTGGGGACATGTAGGATGGAGCTGGCCAAGCTGGGGTGCAGATACGTTCTGTGGATACGCCATCCAAGGTCAAATAGAACAGATGAGTCCCATCTGTCTACATGGGACATGCTCAGAGTGTGTTGTGCTGCCATAGTTGGGAGCACAGCGTGTACACACGGCACGCTGGGATCGTTGCTCATTGCGGGCGTCAGGAACCCTTTGCTTCTGTCCAGGATTTGTGAGTCTGCAGACTCTTAGGATTCTTGAATCTATGGGCTTGTTGATGGGAATTTTGAAACTCTTGGGACATCAACTCCTCAAGTAATCGGAACGTCCTCCCTTTTGTTCTGGGGCCCCGAGCCTTTCGGGCTGGTGCTCCTGCTCAGGTCAGGGTTGTTCTGCAAAGGTTCTTGGTTGTGATCTGTGTCTTTTTTTTCTCCCCCAAAACTGACAGAGAGGCAGAGACACAGAGGAAGGGAGAGGCAGAGATCTACCATTCTCTGGTTCTCTCCCTGAATACCCTCGATGGCCAGGATTGGGCCAAGACAGGGCCAAGGGCAAGCTGAGGTCTCCCTTGTGGGTGCTGGGAGGCGTTGCCTGTGTCATCATGGCTGCCTCCTGGGCTCTGCCTTAGTGGTGGAGCTGGAGTTGAACTCAAGGACTCCAGTGTGGGCTGCGAGTATCCCGGTCAGTGGGAACTGCCAGATGCCTGGTGCCTTTCTGCAGGTGTCATGGATGTAGGTATGTTTGTTCCTCTCAACAGCCCTGTGAGGCAGACACCTCTGCTGCTTCCACTGGCAGGTAGGGCAGCCCGGGGTGGAGTGGGGCAGGTCGCTGGCTGAGATTCCATTGTTGCTTGGTGGCCTTGCTTCTCGGTCACCAGTGGTGCCCGCTGTGCCCAGTTCTGCCCTCTCAGCCTCTTCTCCAGCCTTTCCTTCTGTCCTGTTGGTTTTTCTCGGGGGGCATTGTGAAGAAAGATGAGCTAGGGTGGGAGGAGAGAGAAGGGGCAGCGGAGGGCAGGACAGAGTATTGGTAGATTTGGGGAGAAAAGTTGGGATGAATTGTCACATGAGGATGTCAGATGCATTGTTGGGTAAGAGATCATGCCAGGTAGAGATGTTGGGGGGCAGCAGCTTAGTCTCCACTTGGGATGCCAGCACCACATACAACAGCACCTGGGGTACTGGGGGCGATGGGTGATGATGTGGGCACTGGGGTGATGGGTGATGGTGTGGGTACTGGGGGCATTGGGTGATGGTGTGGGTACTGGGGTTAATGGGTGGTGTGGGTACTGGGGGCATTGGGGGATGGTGTGGGTACTGGGATTCCTGCCACCATGTGGGAGACCGGAATTGAGTCCCGGCTTTCAGCTGGGTCTGTGGACGGCTATTGCGGGCCCTTGAGGAGTAAACCAGCAGATGGAAAAATCTCTGTCCATCTGCCTGTCTCTTTCTGACGTTCAAATAAAAACTGATCAATACAGATGAAGTGAGACTCCTGCCCGTGCTGACAAAGTCACTGCTGTGCTACAGGGCGGGGCCTCTAGGTGGCGATGAAGATGCTCCTCTCAGGTGTTCATAGGCACACGCTGCACGCATGTTCCCCTGCGCAGGGCTGAGGAGAGGCGGAGTGCACGCATGTTCCCCCGTGCAGGGCTGAGGAGAGGCGGAGTGCACGCATGTTCCCCCGTGCAGGGCTGAGGAGTGGCGGAGTGCACGCATGTTCCCCCGTGCAGGGCTGAGGAGGAGTGGCGGAGTGCACGCATGTTCCCCCGTGCAGGGCTGAGGAGTGGCGGAGTGCACGCATGTTCCCCCGTGCAGGGCTGAGGAGGAGTGGCGGAGTGCACGCATGTTCCCCCGTGCAGGGCTGAGGAGTGGCGGAGTGCACGCATGTTCCCCCGTGCAGGGCTGAGGAGGAGTGGCGGAGTGCACGCATGTTCCCCCGTGCAGGGCTGAGGAGGAGTGGCGGAGTGCACGCATGTTCCCCCGTGCAGGGCTGAGGAGTGGTGGAGTGCACGTATGTTCCCCCGTGCAGGGCTGAGGAGGAGAGGCGGAGTGCACGCATGTTCCCCTGTGCAGGGCTGAGGAGGAGTGGCGGAGTGCACGCATGTTCCCCCGTGCAGGGCTGAGGAGTGGCGGAGTGCACACATGTTCCCCCGTGCAGGGCTGAGGAGGAGAGGCGGAGTGGACGTTTGTTCCCCCGTGCAGGGCTGAGGAGAGGCGGAGTGCATGCATGTTCCCCCGTGCAGACACGGTCCAGATCAGCTGGACGGAGTCAGCGGCGCCCCCGGCTGGCAGCTGTGAAGTCGCATGGCCCACTGCCCCCGAGAACTTGTAGCCTGAGTGGGCGCCTGTGGCATGGCCTGCCCAAACACGCCCACTTTGTTTGCTGTTGTGCGAACATTTGTTTGCGTCTGGAGAAACATGTTTAGGCTTTGAGGTTGCAAGTAGCCAACATGCAAACATAAAGCATTCTTAGGAAGGGGCGAAACAAGGGCCTCCCAGCTGGGGGAGCGTTGAGAACAAAATGAAGTGAAAGCTGTCCGTGTGATTGAAAAATCCAGTGTCTTTTTGTAAAGAAAATGTGAGTGAACTCTAAGAAGATAAAAAGCAAACAAAGCAAGAAATGGCAGAAGAGCCTGTCCATGGACATGGAGTAGAATTTTAAATCTTTAAGAAGTATATTTTGGGCCCAGTGCAGTAGCCTAGTAGCTAGAGTCCTCAGCTTTAATGCACCTGAATCCCATAGGGGCCCTGGTTCGTGTCCTGGTGGCCCCACTTCCCATCAGCTCCCTGCTTGTGGCCTGGGAAAGCAGTCGAGGACGGCCCAAAGCCTTGGGACCCTGCACCCGTGTGGAAGACCTGGAAGTCTCCTGGATTCAGATTGGCCCAGCTGCGGCCGCTGTGGCTACCTGGGGAGTGGACCATCAGAAGGAAGATCTTCCTCTCTGTCTCTCCTCTGTTTATCTGGCTTTCCAATAAAAGAAGTATATTTTAATTCAATATGGATAAAATGTGTGGATTTTCTGGAAAACAACAAATGAAAACCCAGTAAGGAAAAGTTAGACAACCAAAGTGCCTCGATTTTTTTTCTTTTTTCAGAAACTGTAGCAATCTGTCAGAGGAATGTTGACAAAAAAGCCCAAAATGTCGCGATCGCGACAGCACAAGCAGGAGTCCCGCCCGCCGGAGCGCCGAGCTGCGGCAGTTCAGCACGAGCAGGTAAATCTGTTTTATCTGCAATCTGAAGCAAGTATGAAAGGAACTGACACAGCCTCGCGTCCGTTTCTTTTTCCGTCTTGAGCAGGTGGGACAAAGGGACTTTGTTTTTTTTTTTTAAATGATAGATTCTCTTTCTAAAAGCGGCAGCCAGCACCACGCCGGACACGTGCCCAGGCGGGAGCAAGAAGCAAGCCCGTGCGCTCAGGCCTGCTGCGTTCCCCCCAACTCGGCCTGGCGTCCTTCGACAGGCAGACCCCGGGTCAGAGGTCAGCTGCATCACCAGGAGGACACCGCTGACCGGAGGTGGCAGCGGGCCAACCTGAGGAGGCAGCACAGACGGCCACTGCCGGCGACAAGCCGTCCCCACCGTCTGCGGCTGCTCTGGGCCAGCCTTCCAGGAGCCGGCAAATCAGCTGAAACACGTCAGCATTCAGTCAGGGTGGGTGTGTGGCCTGGACAGCGAGGGCATCCGTGTCCCATCCCTAGCCCCCATCCCTAGCCCCACTCCTGAGTCCAGCTTCCTCTGCTGCAGATCCTGGGAGCCAGCAGCTGGGTTCCTGCCACGCGTGGGGGGCCACGCCGTATTCCTGGCTCCTGGCTTCCCGAGGCGCATGGAGAGGACCATGCTGTATGCTTGGCTCCTGGCTTTGACCCTCCCTGGCCTGTCGGTCATTTGGGGAAAGAACCAGTGAACGGGATCTTCCTCTCTCTGTCTCCCAAATACTGAAAACTTAAAAAAATACAAGTCAGAAAACCAATCTGTCACCCGTCAAAATGGCAAAGGGAATTCCACGAGGGAGCTTGCAAGTCAGACAACCGGGCGAGGTGCGGAAGGGAGAAGCCTGGAAAAAGTGAGAAATTCAACATGTGAGGAACATTGGGGAACTTGCCTCGCCAGGGGGCTAAGTATGTGTGGCACTATGATAATTGTTTTTTTAAAAAAAAATCCACTTGTTTGAAACGCAAAGTTAGAGACTGTCCACTGCTGGTTTACTCCCCAAATGGCCACAGTAGCTGCAGGTGGGCTGGTTGGAAACCAAGAGCCACGCCTTTCTCTGCGTCTCCCACACGCTTGCAGGAGTCTGAGGGCTTGGGCCGTCCTCTGCTCTCCCAGGCGGATTAGCGGGGAGCTGGATGGGAGCGGAGCAGCCGGGACGCCCCCTGGCGCCGGGAAGGGATGGCAAGCCCCCAGATGGAGACTCCTGCTGTCCTGAGGAAAGGCGTGTCAAACCAGCGTGCTTGGCGGATGAAGTAGATATGGGATTATGAAACGTGTAGAGTCTTCATCACTGAAT